CATCTTCCTGACTGGTTGGTTGCTTATGCACTTGACACTAGTACTGCAGTCAATGGCAACAAGCCATATAGCCTCCTCCAAATAGCTTCACTGCATGTTAGGCATATCTGCTGCATCTTCTCTTTCTCGTCTTGTCCCCTGTTGTGAACCCTGTTCTGAGATACATCATGCATGCACCCCTTTGAGATTATCCTGAAGTGACTTCAGACCGGGAACGATATATATATAAAAACAACTGTGGTCCATATGTTAACCATTAGCCGCCCGGCCAATGGCCGTTTGGCGGCTTCAGATGTGTCTCTCCATTCCGGGTGCACGCCATTTGGCGTGCTCCCGCACATGCGCCGTTTGCGCTAATGCAGAGCGGCGCAGCAGTGCGATCTGTCACCGACCGTGCACCTCGGACACGGCCGATGACAGATCCGAGTACCGGCTCCCATTGCTGGTACCATGTGACCTGCTGTGACCAATCACAGCAGGTCACATGACAGTTGTATACAATCGATGGCTTCATTCATGATGCCATCCATTGTATACTAGTGCCTAGCTGTGAATGGTCACAGCTCACATGCAATAATCACATGCACATGTCATGTGATTGGCTGTGACCAAATCACAGCTAAGCACAAAAAAAAAAAAAAAAAAAAAGCTGAATGAATCGATTTCATTCAGGTAAATGCTTGCTTACAGCAAAGTAATTCTTTGCTATAAGCAAATTGTGTAAAAAAAAAAATACTGATCACTTCCCCAAAGTAGTACAATGTTACTATGGTAACATTGTACTACTTTGGTCATAGTAAAATATGAAAAAAAAATCTTAAAAAAAATATAAAAAAAAATGTAATAAAAAATTAAATATAATAAAAAATAAAAAAAATAAAAATATATATATATATATATTTTTTTTTTATACTGTCACCAGTCAGTGTCCCTGTTCACCGCCATGCCAGTTATATGATGACGCTGTACTGCACTGGTGACAGTATGTAAAAAAAAAAATAGTGAAAATAATTTTTTTTAATTTTTTCATTTTCCAAAAAATTATGACAAAAAAATACAACTTCAAAAAACTCGCCATGCCTCCTCTTATGAAGTACGCCGGACTGTCTACTCTGCAAAAAGGGGTCATTTGGGGATATCTGTACTGTTCTGACATTTGGGGGATATCTGTTACTATTCTGACATTCTTGGACCTCAAGAAATTAGATTGGCTGTCAGTACTTCAGGATTGATCAATATTCAGATCTATACCATAGTTTGTGAACTCTATAACTTTCCTACAAACTAAAAAATACATCCTAATTTGGGTTATTTTTACCAAAGACATGTAGCAGAATACATCTCGGCCTAAATTTATGAAGAACAATTATTTATGTGTAAACTTTTATAACAGAAACAAAGAAAAATGTGGTTTTTTTTTTCAAAATTTTTGGTCTTTTTTTGTTAATTTAGCAAAAAATAAAAAACCCCAGCGGTGATTAAATACCACCAAAAGAAAGCTCTAGTTGTGTGAAGAAAATGATAAAATTTTAGTTTGGGTACAGTGTTGTATGACCGCGCAATTGTCATTCAAAGTGTGAGAGCGGAAAAATTGAAAAATGGCCTGGGCAGGAAGGTGTAAAATTGCACGGTATTGAAACGGTTAAGTATCGGGGTGTCCAGATTTTGGTAAAAAAATAGGTGACTGTGCTCATTCTTAAGGTGAAACTGTGTATGGATGTTTACATAGTGACCACATTAATATTTAGGACTTTAATGGCTTGTCCATACACTTTGATTGTGTTCCTGCAATGTACACTGACATGTCTTAAGTACTCCAATGCACATATACAGTAAGGAGGTAGTGCACTTGCACTATAACATGCCACAATGTACTGATGAGAATGCTCTGTGCTCTGTAGTGTGTTGTGTTGTTACAAAAAGTGCAGGTGTGTTTTTTTCATGTGTCAGGGCATGCTGAGAGCCCATTCAAAATAAATAGCCTTTCTTGACACAATGAGCCCCCAAAAAAAGTAACATATTAATGCAATGTAGATGGATGAACTGGTCTTTAACGTGATTCAGTGACAGCAGAATTAAACAGTGTTACTAAACCCAGGACCCTGCATTCACTATATCTGCTCTCCCACAGTACATAGAACATGGAAATGCAATTATTGTAGTAAATACAAACTGTTATACCTTTTCTTATCAGCAGTTGGAACAGTCTTGTGACTTCCATCAGTGTTCAGCAGAGCACTGGTTACAGCTTGTAGGAGGAGTTTTCTTTCCACTCTTGGAGGATGAAGAATCCCTGACCTCTGTCTGGACAGTGCCGATTGGCCCTGTGCTGTTCACATGTACTCTCCCAAGAAAAAAAAAAAAAAAACCTCTCTAGCAATACACACCAACCTGAGCATGTGCAGAGTGACTCCACACAATATGTCTTATCAGGTGATACGAGGGAACTTGAAGAAGGGGAGGATCAAACAGCATTTTTACACAATGCAGAGGATTAACCCTTAGGTTCCACAGTGAATATAACAAGCATGCTTTATTGCATATACACATGGATTTTACTGTTGTGGGTTTAGTAACACTTTAAGGAAACTGCTATTACAGACTTCTTTTAAAAAGTGCAAACTCTGCAGCTATAATCCTGACTTTGCTCTGTAGTGAGTCACTAGCTATTCAAATGCATGCAGGACAGGAATTAAGACTTTTTTTTTAGATGCACTGGATCTATCTTTGTTCCAGGTCAGTGATTTACTATGTAGTTAGGTAAGGATTAGTATGAGAGCCCTAGAGCCTGTATCTTGAAAAACCAGCCAATGCTACAGGTTTACTTTAGTTCACTATAATAACTGCTAGTTGGAGAATTTGCTAAACACAAAACATATAAGATTATGTTTCATTAGTTGGAGGCCAAAAATATTGAATTGCTAATTGCATCATTTCTAAAGAATCACTAGCAGTAACAGGTGCAAATTATTGTAAGACCTGTCTTGTAGTTGGTTGAAGGCTTTTGTAAGTTTTGTAAGTGATTTTCTTTGATTGTGTGCATTTCTGTAAAGCATGCTCCCATATTTAGTCTTATTACAAAGACTGCAATTATAGAAAAAGAGCTGCTAATCCTACCAGAAACCTACGGGATCTAAAATCTGTGTGCAAAACCATGTGGGAAAAAATAGTTGGACTGGCCATAGACGCGCACTTTTGTCATTGAGAACACTATGTTCCTTTGCACAAATTTGCATGACTCAGTAAGAACCAAAACTTGCTGCAAAACTCTCCAGCACTGACAGCAGTAATTCTGCTCTTTCATTTTTCTCGTATTACAGTAAACTTTATCGGAAACCTCTTGATGACTTTTACAGTTTCCCTCCAGAATTGTTGGGCGGCACAACTCCCAACAATTTCTTCACAACACACAGAAATCATGGACCGACCTTTCACATGTGATTTCTCAGGTTCGTTTAAAAAACATTGAAATCAAATAAATCTCCGGGATCTGATGTACTACCCAATGGATAATACTTTAATACTCCACAGTGGGTTAAAATGGAGAGCCTTTCATGCTCCAAAGGTTTGATTGTAGCTATAATGTGGATTCCTAGTAGATTAGGCCCCCCTATCCTATGTCCTGTGCTTTCCTTCTCACTATCAATATGGGACAGACATCGGATGGGAAGAAATTATGTTTGCCTCATGCACCTGTATTTAATAATCCTGTGATAATACTGGGATTATCCTCAGAACTTTTTTGATAGTGGGAAAATAAAGGCTTATTACATATAAGAAATGTTCTATCTGGAGGTGAATTATACTCACCAGACTATTATAAATCTGTATTGAAACAACCTTTCTTGGAATTATCCTGATACAACCAACCACTTTGTATTAAAAAAAAAAAAACAGTTAAGGATTGGGACTCAATAACAAAAGCTAGTTGTAAAAGCTTTCTGTTCAATGACAAGACCTTCAGCACTGCAGAAATAGCGGATACTGGAAATTGGTAGTATGGCTTTTTCAAACTACATATAGAATGCTTTAGTCTCACACAAGAGTATTTGGATGGTAAATTATAAATTAGATAGATAGATAGAATAAAAAACAATATTTTGGACTTTTTGCTATTAAACATGTCTAGTAAAAAAATAAAAAAAATCAAATTTCTTCATAAATTTACACCAAAATGTATTCTGCTACATTTCTTTGCTAACAAATATCCCAATACGTGTAAATTTATTGGTTTACGTGAAAGTTATAGCGTTTACAAATGGTGGTATATATACTGGAATTTTTTTAAAATTTTGTACTAGTGATGGCGGTGATCAGTGACTTATAACGGGACATTCTGACACTGGGGGGAACTGACTTGGTGTCACTGACTGTCAGTGACACCAATATAGTGATCAGTGCTAAAAAAAAGCACTGACACTGTACTAATGACACTGGACAGAAAGGGGTTAACATGAGGGGCGATGAGGGTTAACTGTGTGCAGGGAGTGTTTTACTAGGGGGCCATATTAGTGTGCTTTACTGTAATCGCACTGCTCTGGATGACTGTGCTGTGCCGCTACTCCTTTACGAGCATGCAGATTGGCCCCTATGTGCGCTGTTATCCGATGCTCAGCTGCTGGGGCGCCTTGGCTAGCGTGCCGACAGAGAGGGCTCTGCGTGCCCGCTGTGCCACACATTCCATAGGTTCTCACCACTGTCCTAAAATAAGCAATGAGAGGCAGCAGTGCCTTACATTGTAGATTATACACTCCAGATATACAGCTACAGGAGGTGCACCATCATAAACTAGGTACCAGGGGCGGACTGACCGTTTGGAAACTCGGGCACTGCCCGAGGGCCCGGGGTCAGTAGGGGGCCCCATGAGATGCCCCTGGTACCTTTTTCATAGGCTTTTTTGAGTTTGGGCAAGGACACAGGGGCCCTATGATCCCCTATTGCCCAGGGGCCCCATGAGTTGTCAGTCTGCCCCTGCTAGGTACTACTACTTGCACTGCTACTTTTTCAAGAGGAATATCAGACAATTGGTAGTTCTTTAAGGTTCTGCTGATGCACAAATAACATTTCTCAAAGTTCCCAAATCATCACTTTTTAGTTTAGTTCCACTTTCAATAAACCATATACAATGAGGCAGGATGTCAACATAATAAAAAACAGATTTAGGGATTATACAAATCATAATAAGTACTGTAACCATTTTAAAATGGAGCATTAGATAGCACATACCACTGCTATCTAATTCTATTTGCATGCTGGGGTTCAGAAAAAAAAAAGCCTTTTATTTAAATATATATTAGATGATTCTTAGTTTAGATTTATTCTAATCTGATGCTGAAAATACCAGAACTAATTGTAGAACTGCAAAAAAAAAAACATTATAGTGTGCTAAAAAAATCTAACTTTTTTTTTTTTTTGCTGCTTCATTATCTGTTTGACACAATGGAAGGAAGGAGATATCAGGAAGTGCAATCCACACATTCACACAGGAAGTGGCAGACAGCAATGTAAACACAAACAAGTAGAACACCATTTACAATGCAAAGCCTAAATAATGTACATTCTGATAGAACAAGCTACCAAGTAATTTTTCCCTAACCTAAACCTTGACCATTTTGTTAAAATGTATTCTACTGTAAATTTTTATACATGGCATTTTTGTTAATTAAGTTTTAATTGTTTTTTTTTATAGTTTTTTACTGCTTCTTTATTCAAACCAAAACCAATAAAAATATAATTAAAAAAGAGCAGATATCTGAATGCTGCAAAATAAGGAACTGTGTACCATAGAAAGACATGGGGCTTTTTGCTAAAAGAGCTTAAAGCAGAACCGAACTCTCTCAAGCAACATTTATTTATTTCAGGTACTTCTATAGCGCTCAGGGGCAGACTGACAACTCATGGGGCCCCCGGGCAATATGGGATCATGGGGCCCCTGTGTCCTTGCCCAAACTCAAAAAAGCCTATGAAAAAGGTACCAGGGGCATCTCATGGGGCCCCCTACTGATCCCAGGACCTCGGGCAGTGCCAGAGTTTCCAAATGGTCAGTCCGCCCCTGATAGCTCTGTCAATTTATGCAGTGCTTTACATATATATACAGTGGGGCAAAAAGTATTTAGTCAGCCATCAATTGTGCAAGTTCAAACACTTAAAAAGATGAGAGAGGCCTGTAATTGGCATCATAAGTAGACCTCAACTATGAGAGACAAAATGAAAAAAATCCAGACAATCACATTGGCTGATTTGGAAAGAATTTATTTGCAAATTATGGTGGAAAATAAGTATTTGGTCACCTACAAACAAGCAAGATTTCTGGCTCTCACAGACCTGTACCTTCTTCTTTAAGAGGCTCCTCTGTCCTGCACTCATTACCTGTATCAATGGCACCTGTTTGAACTTGTTATCAGTATAAAAGACACCTGTCCACAACCTCAAACAGTCACACTCCAAACTCCACTATGGTGAAGACCAAAGAGCTGTCGAAGGACACCAGAAACAAAATTGTAGACCTGCACCAGGCTGAGAAGACTGAATCTGCAATAGGCAAGCAGCTTGGTGTGAACAAATCAACTGTGGGAGCAATAATTAGAAAATGGAAGACATACAAGACCACTGATAATCTCCCTCGATCTGGGGCTCCACGCAAGATCTCACCCCGTGGGGTCAAAATGATCACAAAAACGGTGAGCAAAAATCCCAGGACCACACGGGGGGACCTAGTGAATGACCTGCAGAGAGCTGGGACCAACGTAACAAAGGCTACCATCAGTAACACACTACGCCGCCAGGGACTCAGTTCCTGCAGTGCCAGACGTGTCCCCCTGCTTAAGCCAGTACATGTCCGGGCCCATCTGAAGTTTGCTAGAGAGCATTTGGATGATCCAGAAGAGGATTGGGAGAATGTCATATGGTCAGATGAAACCAAAATAGAACTGTTTGGTAGAAACACAACTCGTCGTGTTTGGAGGAGAGATAATGCTGAGTTGCATCCAAAGAACACCATACCTACTGTGAAGCATGGGGGTGGCAACATCATGCTTTGGGGCTGTTTCTCCGCAAAGGGACCAGGACGATTGATCCATGTACAGGACAGAATGAATGAGGCCATGTATCGTGTATCGTGAGATTTTGAGTGCAAACCTCCTTCCATCAGCAGGGGCATTGAAGATGAAACGTGGCTGGGTCTTCCAACATGACAATGATCCCAAACATACCATCTGGGCAACGAAGGAGTGGCTTCGTAAGAAGCATTTCAAGGTCCTGGAGTGGCCTAGCCAGTCTCCAGATCTCAACCCCATAGAAAACCTTTGGAGGGAGTTGAAAGTCCGTGTTGCCCAGCGACAGCCCCAAAACATCACTGCTCTAGAGGAGATCTGCATGGAGGAATGGGCCAACATACCAGCAACAGTGTGTGCCAACCTTGTGAAGACTTACAGGAAACGTTTGACCTCTGTCATTGCCAACAAAGGATATATAACAAAGTATTGAGATGAACTTTTGATATTGACCAAATACTTATTTTCCACCACAATTTGCAAATAAATTCTTTCCAAATCAGCCAATGTGATTGTCTGGATTTTTTTTCTCATTTTGTCTCTCATAGTTGAGGTCTACCTATGATGCCAATTACAGGCCTCTCTCATCTTTTTAAGTGGGAGAACTTGCACAATTGGTGGCTGACTAAATACTTTTTTGCCCCACTGTATATAGTACATTCTCATCAGTCCCTAACCCTCAAGGGGCGTACAATCTAAGGTCCCTAACTCACATTCATACATACACATACTAGGGACAATTTAGACAGGATCCAGTTAACCTACCAGCATGTCTTTGGCACAGGGAGAACATGCAAACTCCAGGCAGGTGGTGCCATGGCTGGGATTCGAACCAATGACCCTAGCACTGCCAGGCAGAAGTTCTGACCATTTAGATACTGTGCTGACTATTTTAATCCTTAGGCTGCTAACAGTACATAGGTTAGTATATATAATTACTTGCTTTAAACATTTTGTTTACATTTCTTCAGTTATTTCCTAGAGAACAGGTCTAGGCAAATGATGTCATACATCCAAGGAGCCTTCAGGAGGGGAGGAGGGTCTTTCTTAGCTAATTACACCCTCCTTCCTGCATGCCTGAGCTAAGGACAGATGGATTCCAGGAAGTAAATGCTACACAAATCATCTGCCCTTACTCATGATGGCTATGGCAATAAATTCTAGGGGGTGTTCAAAGTGATTTCTAAGTAAAATAAAGCTTGGAGACATGGATGGATGAGTGAGTTTGTAAATATTATAAATTAATTACATAGCATTTTTGGTTTCTGATACTCAGTTACAGTATAGTTCCACTTTAAAAATGGAGCTACATGCGTTTCCCACAGCAACCAGATTTTGCCTTTTATTTTAAAACAAGCATGAAAAACACGAAAGAAAGCAATACTGTTTTTTCACTGGACACATCCAAACAATCTAGATTTTACAGGTCTGACTTAGGCCCCTTTTCACATGGGAATCTGGTTTTGCTCAGCAGGGGATCGGTAGAAGGATATGCTACTGTGCTAAGCGTTGCTACCAGATGACAGGTTCATGTCATCTCCTCTTATGCAGAGCGGACAGGACTCAGTCCACTTTCGTCTATGGGCAGTTGGATGTAAAAGGCCGGCTGTTTGTTTACACTCGACTGCCCTCCGATCCCATCTGGCCAGATGGGGTAGGTAGGAGAACGGATCCCCTTCCGTCTGTTTTTGCCAGATCAGAGGTAAGCGGGTGCAAACGGACACAAGACCGTTTACATCTGACTACCCATAGAAGAGAATAGAGGGTCGGTCGGGTTCGCCTGAAAAATGGACAGGTGGACCCAATTTGACTGCTCTTGTGAAAGGGGCCTTAAAGTGTATGTCCACTTTTGCAGTCAGATTTGAGAAAAACCCCTCTATATGTTTATTATGTGTCTCCATTCACACAGCATACCTAAAAATATGTATAATGTTTGTTAGTAACAGGGTTCTGGCAGACTGCAAGCTACTCTGAACAATTTGAAATGAGAAGAAAATCAATCTGTCCCCAATGACAAAGAGGGACAGGCTGCAGTCCCCTCATTATTGTACAATGAAGAAGCCCAGCTTCTAGATTATTAACCCTTTACAGTTTATAATCTGCCAGCGCAGCACAGGCAGGGTTAATTATGGTAAAGATCAACTCCCCAGCATAGCAGAGGAAAACTTCAGGTTGGCAGTATTCAGAAAATAGTAAGTACAATGTAAGCAGGTTTTTATACAATGTGAAGGAGTAACAAATATATTATTATTATTATTATTATTATACAGTATTTATAAAGCGCCAACAGTTCACTCAGCGCTGTACATTGTAAAGGGAGACAGTACAATAACAATACAATGCGATACACAAGGGGTCCCTGCTCCTTGGAGCTTACAATCTAGGAGGGAGGGTAAGTGTTACAGGCTGTGGGGGATGGAGTGGTAGGAAGAGTGGAGGAGGTCAGAAATTAGCAGGGGGTGGGGTAGGCTTCCCTGAAGAGGTGGGCTTTCAGGGTGCGCCTAAAGGAGAGGAGAGTAGGTGATAATCTGATGGGTTGGGGCAGGGAGTTCCAGAGGATGGGTGACACCCTGGAGAAATCCTGGAGGCGGGCATGGGAGGAGGAGACCAGGGAACTAGAGAGAAGGAGGTCTTGTGAGGAGCGGAGAGTGCGTGTTGAGTGGTACTTGGATATTAGGTCAGTGATGTAGTTTGGGGCAGTATTATGGACAGCTTTGTACATCAGTGTTAGGATTTTGAATTTGATCCGTTGTGCAATCGGAAGCCAGTGGAGGCATTGGCAAAGGGGGGTGGCGGAAATGGAGCGGTTGGTGAGGTGAATGAGTCTGGCTGCCGTATTCAGGATTGACTGAAGCGGTTATCGTAAGTAGTTATCATAAGTAGTGTTATCATAATTTGACTATAAAAGTGGAAATACACTTTAAATGGAGTGACTTCTGCTTGGTCTCTGTGGGTTACTGTGCTTACAATGAACCTGT